GCGGTGGACTACATGGGAGTCCAGCGACATAGCCATTACGCTAACTGCTGGTCCCACTGTTATTGCTATTTTTTAATTGGACCAGAAAGAGAGAAAAAAAGGAAGGGAGAGAGCAAGCTGTCAGATCTAGAACTTGAACCACAGTTAGCCATGTGGGAGTCCAGCACCTTAATAACCACCACACCACCTGTCAGCCCCTTGTTTTGCTTGTTAAATAATTATTTATTTAATTTTTATTTATTATTATTTTTGTTTCTAATATGACCAGAGAGAGACAGAGAGAGAGAGAGATAGGTAAAGTAAGAACACAAGCTGCCAGGTCCAAGACTCAAACCGCAGCTGGCCATGTGGGAGTCCGGTGCCTTAACCACTATGCCACCTGCTGGCCCCAGTACTTGACATGTGTATCACCATGTCTTTATCCCTTGCCCATGGAAGACATTGTTGATCAATCATAGTGTTCTAAGCCAGCTATTACTAATCAATTAAGACTGATTTGGTAATAAACTAATTTGGTCATTGTTGCTGTATCTATTAAATTAAAGGTCTATAGCTACGAATAATAGAATACATGATGACAGTGCCTTAAACAATAAAGATATTTATAATCTCACTCCATGTGGGAGTCCAGCGCCTTAGTCACCCACCATACCACCTGATAGCCCCCAGAAGACATCTGGAGAAAGGCAATTCAGGATTGGTTTGGTGACCCAAAAACACTGGACTCTGGGTGGCCCTTTGCTCTCTCTTAGTCTTCTTTTCATGACCACACGATGGCCACTATAGCTCAAGTCTGTCATTCTATATGTGACAAAATCCAGAGCAGGAAGGGAGGAGACAGGCAAAATACGAACTGTCTCCTCACACTTTCCTCTTAAAGAGAGATAAGTGCTTCTAGCCAGTGGCATGGTGGAGGCAGCTGGAGCCCAAATGGTCAACTGCACAGTTTGAGTCCTGGACTCAGTGACTTGAAAAACACACTGAGCACATGTATGCATGCATGCACAAAATCCCAAGAGGAAAATGGGGGAGACAGGATTGTGGTATGGCCATCCTTCTGGAGGTGCTTTCTCACTTTCTGCCTTTCTCCCTCTCTCTCTGTGTGTCTCTGTGGTGAGCACATACACCCTATAGCAAATTATTTTTTAAAAGGGGCCAGCTGGGGACCAGCAGGTGGTGTGGTGGTTAAGTCGCTGGACACTCCCACATGGCCGACCACAGTTCAAGTCTTGGACCTGGTGGCTTCCTTTCT